CCCTAGTGCTGGCCAGACCCAGGAGCCTCCTGTTATATCTCAACAAAGCCAGATTTAAAACATATTCTTGGGGCCAGATGTAGCATGCCCAAGACCCTAGGTTCCATCCTAGTGCTCACACACACACACACACACACACACACACACACACACACACACAGCTGGGGTCAAGGGCATGGCCTGCTTCTCTACCAAGGAGCCAATGGTCCTGAGCAAGTGACCCAGCCTAGTGCGGTTTCCTCTGACATGGTGGTGTGAATGCCTGCCTGCTCAGGAAGTTGAGAAGGTTTGAGAAAGCAGGGTAGAACAAAAGTATAGCTCAGAATGTGGCCCAGAGTAGGCAGTAGAGAACTGAAACTTCTAGATTAGTGTGATTACAAATCACAGGATTCTTTTTTTTTTTTTCCGAGACAAGGTTTCTCTGTGTAGTTTTGGTGCCTGTCCTCGATCTCACTCTGTAGACCAGGCTGGCCTCGAACTCAGAGATCCGCCTGGCTCTGCCTCCCAAGTGCTGGGATTAAAGGCATGCACCACCACCGCCCAGCAATCTATGTTCTTTTATGTGTCTCAGTTACCTTGACTTTGTAATGCCCATGCTGCTTGCTCTACACCCCTGGTGTCTCCACTACCTTCTTCCCAGCATTCTCTATGCCCGGATATCCTGCCTAGCTATTGGCCGTTCAGCTTGTTATTAAACCAACTACAGTGACATATCTTTACATGGTAAAGATATCAGATATCTCACAACAAGAGGCAGACAGTAAAAATGTAGGCAATTGAAACCACCAACATATTTGTTTTTGTTTGTTTGAGACAAGGTCCCAAGATGATCCTCCTGCTTCTACCTCCCAAGTGCTGGGGTAACAGGCATGCAGGATGGAAGCCAGGGCTTCGTGCATGTCAGGGAAGTGCTCTATCCACTGAGCTACATCCCCAGCTCCAGAACTGCCCATCTAAATGGTGATCAGTAGGACTTGCTGCTGCTGAGGCAGGGCCATGGTGTGGCATCCACAAGGGCTTCCCAGAGGAGGTGACCCCTGAGAAGGAACTGAGCGATGCATAAACCTCAGACAGAGTGTTCTAATCATCGCCAGAGCTGGGCTCATAATAAGGGCTTGGGGGAGGGGCTTAGCCAGTTATGCTCTGTGCCCCACCCCCATGTCCCCCAGGAAGGAAAGACTCTGAGTTCCTGAAAAAAATATCTCACATAGAGGTGGCAAAGGCCTTTTGTGTCATGTGGGGCTGTGGACACAGCAGAGAACCTGGTGGGCCAAGAGGACTGTGATGTGTCAGCGAGTGCAGCTACTAAGCCAGGCATGAAGACACAGAACGGAGCAGGCAGAGAGCCCTGCCCTGTGGGACCGACATGCTAATGGGCCAAGCCAGACAAGAGTCTACACAATTGTGGGAAGCAGAATGACTGAGCCTGGGCTGCTCTTGGTGAGCAGCCAGTGGCCTTTCCAAGGAGTCGATATTTAAGTTGAAGCGTGACCGGTGGACAAGGGCCAGCCTGGCAGTGCACTGGGGGAGGGGCTTTGCAGACAGCAAGCATGCACGTATAAAGGGCCTGAGGTCAGCACACACTCGACTTCTGGGCTTGACTGATGGCTGATGCCTGATGGCTGATGTCTGAAACAAAGACAGGTAGTAGAGGATGCCAGGGAAGCTCTCAGGCGGGGCCTGGGAACAAGATGTGTTGGTTTTTTTCTAAAGATATTGGGAGCTGTTGGGAGTTTTAAGCTGGGACAGAAAATGATCTGATAGAAGGTTTTAATGGATCTTTCTGGCTGCCATGGGGAAAATGGAATGCACGAGGCCAGCATGAAAAAAGGAGGAGCCAGCAGGGGGACTGGAGACAGGAGAGCAATGGCCACAGCATGCCAGCTGGTAGCAACGGAGGGGTGCAGAGTGCTCAAACCAGTCTGTTCTTAGGAGACACGACTCTGGCCTTAGCTGATGGCCTGGATGTTAGGCTGGGAGAATCAGAAGCCTCTAGACCAGTGGTTCTCAACCTTCCTAATGCTGCGACCCTTTAATACAGTTCCTCATGTCGTGGTAACGCTCAACCATAAAATTATTTTCATTACTATTTGTTTTTTAATGTGTACAGGCACTTTGTCTGCATGTATGCCTGCAGACCAGAAGAGGGCGTCAGATTGTGAGCTGCCATGTGGGTGTTGGGAATTGAACTCAGGACCTCTGGAAGAGCAGCCAGTGTTCTTAACCACTGAACTATGTCTCCAGCCCCCTCATTGCTACTTCTTAATTGTAATTTTGCTACTGTTATTAATTGTAATGTGTAAATATCAGATGTGCAGGATATCCAATATGTGATCCATGTGGAAGAGTTGTTCAACCCCCAAAGGGGTCACGATCCACAAGTTGAGAGCCACTGCTTGAGACCAATGCCCAGGGTCAAAGTGGCTGGGCGGCTGGGCCACCTCTTACAAGTGAATTGGCCACCTAGTAAGCCGGTAGGAGACCAGCTCCAAACTGCCTGAGATAGTCTAGGACCTGGGAGCCACCCATCTGCCTCAAACAGAAGCCCAGCCCCCACAGTCTTTGAAATGACTCTTCCCGTCAGCTTCCCCTTCACAGGAAGGGGCCTTGCATCTGATATTAACCTCTCCTTATTAAGTGCCCATGCACGTGGCAGCCTGAATCACCACAGCCTTGACCCATGGAGCATATATTACCAGCTAATTACAATCGCCACCCATTAATCACCCCAGCCAAGCCTTCTCTGCAACCCGATTACCACCTGGGCGTCACAAACTTCCCTTCAAAGAAAAAGGAGTGCCTTTGTCTGTGTTAACCCAGTGACCCCAAGACGCAACACACACTTGTCTGTCCCTGAGCACGTAGGCAGCTCCCATTATAATGTATGTCTAAGGATGCCCCCTTCCTGCCCCCACCAGCCAAGGCAGGAACTGGGGTGTGTGTGTGTGTGTGTGTGTGTGTGTGTGTGTGTGTGTGTGTGTGTGTGTGTGTGTGTGTGTATGTGTGTATGTGGCTAAGGATGGAGCCCAGTGCATGTTAGATCAGCTCTGCCACTGAACTGTATCCCCAGCCAGGAACCCTCATCCCTGCCATCAAACAACACAGATGGGCAGCAGGAACCAAAATCTTCTGATGATTCGTGTCTCCACAGGGCCCACAAGACTGTAGAACAGATGAATGCCAAGTCCCGTGACTCTGTCTCTGAAAACAAAACAAAAACAAAAATCTGAATTTAAGCTCTTACACTGTACCCCACTGAAGGCAGGTGCTACCATAGACCTTTGGACGAGTCAGCGTGTCCGCTAGCCTGACACAGACCAGGCAGTCACACAGGAATGCCAGGAGGCAGGCTGTATGCAGGACCACAGGCCGCAGCACAGGTGTGAGCTGCAGAGGGTCCAGACTTCCTGGGGAAAAATAAAGGTTCAAGGCTCAGTAGAAGCTGGCCCCTCAGAGGTGCCAACCTTCAGCTCTGGAACCTCTGACTCTGTCACCCTACGTGACACAAAAGACTTTGGAATTGCGTCCAGATGAAGCATCTTGAGATGAGGAGATCGTTCTGAATGGAGATGGTGGCGTGATGGAGTCCAGGGTCCCTGGAGGAGGGAGAAAGGAGACCCAGTAAGAAGCAGAGGTTGCCGGGAGGTGGTGGCACACGCCTTTAATCCCAGCACTCGGGAGGCAGAGCCAGGCAGATCTCTGTGAGTTCGAGGCCAGCCTGGGCTACCAAGTGAGTTCCAGGAAAGGCGCAAAGCTACACAGAGAAACCCTGTCTCGAAAAACCAAAAAAAAAAAAAAAAAAGAAGCAGAGATTGGAGTAATGTGGCCAAGAGCCAAGGACTGTGGGCGGCCTCTAGAAACTGGGGAAGGAGTTGGGCACTGTCCCTGGATAAAGTAGAAGGTCTGAAAGTTCAAAGCTAGCTTGGTCTACTTAGTGAGTTCAAGGCCAGCCTGGGATACTTAGCAAACCTTATATAAAGACAGGAGCGGAGTATGTGTGAGAACCTGGGGACTGGTGGCTCAGTCTCTAAAGTGCTTGCCCTGAGTTCAGTCCCCAGCATTCACAGAAAAGCCATGTCCAGTGGCACGTACTTTTGATCCCCGCTGGGGAGGCAGAAACAGGTACATTCCTGGAACTGGTCAGACTGGTCAAACTGGCAAGCTCCAGGTTCAGTGAGAGACCCTGTCTCAAAAGATAAGGTGGAAAGAGGTGGAGGAAAACCCTGTTGACCTCTGACCTCCACACACATGAGTACACAAATACATATGAACACATACACATTCCTCTCTCTCCCTCTCTTATACACACCCCCCCCCCCACACGCACAGCTTGTACAAGATCTCAGAAAGGCTAGGAACAGATCTTTCCTGACTCCCTGAGAGAAATAGTCCGGCTGCCACCTTGGTTTGGAATCTGTCCACAGCACTGTAAAATGATGAACTTGCGTTGTCTTAAGATACTCCATCTGGGCCAGTGAGATGGCTCCACAGTTAAAAGAGCTTGCTGACAAGCCCAATAACCCGAGTTCGATCCCTGGAACCCACATAGTGGAAGGGGAGAACTGACTCCTGCAAGTTGTCCTCTGACCTCCACACATATGCCCTGGCTTACATGCACACAATTAATTAATTAAAAAAAGATTATGTTTGGGCAGTTCATTGCCGCAATGAAAACAAATTCATAGAGCTTAACATTCTGAAGCCCTGCTGTGAGAAACTCATATTTGTTATCTAGGAATCAGAGTGTCACATGACCCAAGGTCATTAGGACAGAAAATGGAGACTGTCCTCTTGGAGCGTTACAGGCACACAGGGATGTGTGGCCCGGTGTGCTTGGGTCAGGGGATGACGCTGAGGAAGGTGGGTGCTGCTGAGCTCCGCCCCTGAGCCTGGCTTCCCTGGGACTCTTATTTCTACCTCCAGGTTGGTTGCTTGTGCCCCTGAAGACAGCTCTGGATTAAAACCTGACTGATTCTTTGGGCACTCTGTTTCCTTTCAAGGACACTATGATGCCCGGGCCAGAGTCCTCGTTTGTCACGTGACTTCCCTGCTCCAGGTGCCCGTGGAGGAGCTTGATATACTCGAAGAGGCATTCCTAGAGAGCCTAAAGGACACCAAAGAGGAGGAGTCTGAGTAAGACACCCTTTCAGCCCCTGGGAGAAACCTGAATTCCACTTGAGGGCTTTTTGCCCATCACAGGTTCCCTTCCCATGTGGAGGCCATGCAGTGAGGTAGAAGGGCCACTAGGCAAAGAGTCCAAGTGGCCCTGCCTCGCTGAGTGACCTTAGCAAGTCACTTGCCACCCTCTTTGGGCTTGGCTGTGTTTGCAAGAAGAGATATTCATTAAAGGCCCTGGATATATGGCCGCCATCCAACGGTCCTGACGCCCTAGTTCACCTCAAGCTTTTATGGCACTGTCTGTGGGACCACATGAACCATCCGCTACTTGTCTGTGGACAGGTGGCCTCCTTTCTCTAATGACAGTATCCCTATATATAAGATGGCTATAAGGATAGTGCCCTCTCGGGGTCATTGTTGAAAGGAATGTGATCCTGTCAGAAAATGCTCCACTCAGGCTGGAGAGATGGCTCAGTGGTTAAGAGCACTGAGGTCCTGAGTTCAATTTCCAGCAACCACATGGTGGCTCACAACCATCTATAATGAGATCTGGTGCCCTCTTCTGGCGTGCAGGCAGGACACCGTATACATAATAAATAAATCTTTAAAAAGAAAAAGAAAATGCTCAACCCATGGCTGGCAGGTGGCAAGGGCCTGGAACCACTCAGAAGCCCCTGTGCTGTATGTGTGGTCAGGAATGGGAAGGGGTGTGGGGAGATAACTCAAGGTACTCGCCTTCTAAGCACTGGACCTGAGGTTGATCCTAGAACCAGAAAAGGCCGGTTACTGTGGTACACACTTGTAATCCCAGCATTCACTACGGTGGGTGGATCTCTAGCACTCGCTGGTCAGCCAGCCTAGCCAAATTGGTGAGTTTCAGGCCACTGAGAGACCCTGCTTCAAAATTAAATATGAGAAACAGTGGATGGTGTCTGAGAAGTGTCAAACAGAGCTTGTCCTCTGACCACACACACACACACACACACACACACACACACACACACACACACACACACACACGAGCACGTGCATGCATACACCATGCACCCTGCCACCACCCATATACACACTAAGAATGTGGAAAGGAAAATCATCCTTGTGACTTGGCCGGAGCCCAGCTCTGGGCGTCATCTAATCCTAGTATCATAAATCAACCCCAGTGCCATCCTGATGCTGACCTACTCCACCAGGCGCCAGACACTGCAGCCCAGCACAGGCTTCTCCTCATCCCCCAGTTACACCAGTTCAACCCAGTGGGAGATAGAAGTCTGCAGCCCAGCTCAGAGGCAGAGCCGTCTCCCTCCAGAACAAAAGGAGGGTGTTAGCAGTGCCAAGGGCAGTTTGATTTTGGTTTTTGGGTAGTTTTGGGGTTTGTGGGTTGTTTTGTTTGGGTTTTGGTTTTTCGAGACAGGGTTTCTCCGTGTAGTTTTGGTTCCTGTCCTGGATCTCACTCTGTAGACCAGGCTGGCCTCGAACTCACAGAGATCCGCCTGGTTCTGCCTCCCGAGTGCTGGGATTAAAGGCGTGCGCCACCACCCCCTGGCCATTGGTTGTTTTGTTTTAAGACGGGTCTCTCTATGTAATCCTGGTCTGTTCTGGAACTTACTCGATAGACCAGGCTAGCCTCAAATTCATAGGGATCCACCTGCTTCTGCCTCCTAGTACTAGGACTGAAGGTCTGTGCCACCAGAGGCTCAGGTAGTTTGTTGAAATAACTGAGGGGATGGCTCAGGCAGTACTTGGCCATGCAAGCGTGAGGACCTGAGTGTAGGCCTCCAGTACCCATGTAAGAGCTGGGCACGGCATTGAGCACCTCTAACCCTAGCAGTGGGCAGGCAAAGACAAGAGCGTCCTGGTGCTAGCTGGGGAGCTCCAGGTTCAGTGGGAGACCCTGTCTCAAAAAATTCAAATGGAGAGTGATCAAGGAAGACTCTTGGTGTCAACCCCTGGTCTTCATACATACACACAAACACACACATGCGTGCATGTGCACACTTACCACACACACAAACACACACGCATGTGCACACTTACCCCCATAAACACACATATGTGCACACTTATCCTCAGACACACACACACACACACACACACACACACACACACACACACACACACACACAAGAAATAATCTGAAAATATTTATGTTTTGATGCGCAGAACTATGCCAGGGAGCAAGCAGCTGGACCCGGGCCAATGACCTTAATCACAAGGTCATTGTCACAAGAACCATTACCACATTCTTTAGCTAGGTTCAAAGTGTGTCGGGCCTCACAGTCTTGAGATGGAGAGACTTCGCAGTTAGTGCCTGAGGACCTTGTTAGACAGGAGCATGTTACCCAGGGAGGCCTGTTCTCCCTCTGTCCATATCACAGAGTCCAAGAAGATGGACACCGGAAGCCCCAACACAGTCTAGCTCCAGACTTCTCTAGTTTTGTGATCTTGGGCAAGTTATTGAAGTCTCTGGGCCTCAGTTTCCTTACCTGTAAAATGGGGATAACAGTCAAGACCTTTTGCCTCGGTTTCCTGTGGGGCAGAAAGGAAGTCAAGAGTGATGGGTCCATATAGCTCATCATCTATTTGTTAGCAGTAATGTTGCAATTATGTTATTATTACATCTGAATGTGGCATTTTAAGCACTGTAGAGAACTCTAGAATTCTCTAGAAGGATTTGAGATCAGAGGAGAGCAGCTGTTCAGACCAGGTCTCCACTGATTTTCCTGTGTGGCCTTGGGCAGGCTCCTTGCCTTCTCTGGGCACCAAGACCAGTTTGTGACCTCTGTGTTAAGGGACTGGCTTCTATAGAAATTTCTTTTAATACTAAGGCTTTCTAGTGAGCTTATCTGCAGTGTTTCTTTGTAGGTGGGACTCAGAATGTGACATGCCACCCCAGTGTGCTTGTTCCTCACCTGAATACTAAGGCTACCCCAGCCTCCCTGTGTACTGAGTGACCTCACCTCTCCGTGTCTTGGTTATTTAAGCTTTGGTGTGGAGTTAATGGTAGTTCTACATTAGAGGGCTGTAGGAGGATTAAATTAATTACCTCATATCAAAAGCCTGGGACAGTGCCAGGTATGCTGCGGGCCTCGGTGACCCTCAGCTGGAACAAGGCTGAATTTCATAGCTCCTACAAGAGTGTCTAACTCCTGCCGAGGGCTTCCTGATGCAGGCCCCAGGGCTGCCCCATCTAAGACTTGTACAATCCTTATGAGGATTCGGCTGGGTGACTTACTCAGCTCAGGTCACATAGCCATTCAATGGCACTCTGATTCAACCGTGTCATCCAGCCTGTGTGTGTGTGTGTTTTTTTTCTTTTCTTTTTTCCCAAGACAGAGTCTCACTGTGTAGCTCTGGCTGTTCTCGAACTCACTCTGTAGACCAGGCTGGCCTCGAACTGACAGAGATCTGCCAGCCTCAGCCTCCTGAGTGCTGGGATTAAAGGTGTGCGCCACCATGCCCAGCTTGTGTGTTACTTTCTTGAGGCCCAATTCGAAATCCAGATTCCCTTCTTCCCAGCTTTAACTAGAAAAGGCTCTCAGGGTGGGCTGAGGCAGGGGGATGTACACCATTTGCAGGTAGATCGCACATACACACACACGTGTGGACAGACAAGGACAATGGGTGTCCTGCCCTATCACTGTCCACCTTATTTTCTTGAAACAGGGTCTCTCACTGAACCTGGAGCTAAGCGGATGGCCAGCAAGCACAGTGATACAGTGCTCACCTAGCATATGTGGGCCCTGAGCTCCCTTGGCAACTGGTGGTGGGGAGGAGGCCAGAGAGAACACGCTCTCGTGGGAGATCAGGTGCCTCTGGGTACGTTTGATTGGTGGCTCCACATCGTGAACGGTGTTGGGATCTTGCTCTTCTTGAGCCGTTTTTACAGCCAGTGTGGGGTCTGCCCTTGGGTGACATGGAAACATCAGCTGAAGTTCATGCCTAGCATTCATTCTAGAGGGTGGGTGTGGCCAGCGACTGGCTGTCTGATGCCATTTTGTCTAATCAGATGGCAAAGTCCATGGCAGAAGTAAAGCCGTCATTTAGATTTAGAGTTCTCAGAATTTCAGCGTCCAAGGAAAAGGAAGAAAGAATCCTAGCTGTGACTCAGACGTCTCCCCTTGGGTGCTCAGTGTTGAAAGTCAACTAGACACCTGGAATCATTGCAAGAATAAAATGCTGCAATAATCAGAGAAGATAAGGGAGGCTGTTCATTTTACAAGGAAAGCAGTTATTAAGATGGGTGCACATCTGGAAATCAGTAGGCCGTGCAAGTGAATGTCAGAGATCAGGCTTCCTTGAGGGCTGGCAGGATGGCTCAACATGTAAAGGCCCTTGCCACCATGCCTAACAACCTGAGTTCAATCCCTGGGACCCACGTGGTGGAAGCAGAGGACTGATCCCCACAATTTACCTTCTGCCCTCCACTTATATACACATATATAAACATACACACATACATATATACATACTGTAAAAGTTAATAAAAACTTGAAAAAGTAAAATAACAGTTATTTTGTTTTTAAAAGAATAAATAAGTTATTTTGTTTACAAAAGGTGGCTGTAGAGTTGGGTCAGAAGTTAAGAGTGCTTGCTGCTCTTCCAGAGGACCCAGCTTCAGTTCCCAACACCCACGTGGTGGCTCCCAACCAGCTGTAACTCCAGATCTGTTGCCCTCCTCTGGCCTCCGCTGGTATTACATACATCTGATGCACAGACCACATGTAGACAAACACACAAAATAATAAAGCTTTTTTAAAAGAAAGAAAATTTTCTCTTTTAAATCTTTTCCAGTTAAAAAATGTTTGCGAACACATAAATGATAACGTGGAGGAGATTGTGAGGGGCCAGAGCATCTCGTGAGCACGGTCTCTGCAGAACTGCTCTGTTGTACTAGCTTTATGCATTTAAGTCACACAGACCTCAGGGACCCTATTGATTCTGTTGTCATTTGACTCCATCAAGCTCAGCTAAGCCCACTGACCATCTGGTGCCATTATTATACGGATGTCACTGTGGGAACAATCCGGAAGCCAACAGTGCCACATCACATCAATGGCACTAACTTGCAGACTTTACTAGGTTCTTAGTAAATACATTAATAGTAGCTGTGAACATTTTATTTATTTATTTACCTGAGACAAGGCCTCACTATATAGCCCCAGCTGGCCTGGAACTCGCCATGTAGACCAGAGTGGCCTCGAGCTCGTAGACGTTTTCTGGCACTTCCTGTTTGTTCTCTAAGTATCTAACTGGATGGCGACTGGCTTCACTTGCATGTTGTCATTTAGCCTGTGTCCCTCTGTGTCCCTCTCTGTCCCTCGGGTTTTCACAGTGGTCGGGGAGCTGCACCACTGAAGCGGAGTAGTCAGCACTTCCTGGAATAATCGGTTCTGTTTGAGAAACCTGTCCCGGGGCCGGGGAGATGTCTCTGTGGGTAGTGTTGCTGCGCTGAGTCGGATCCCAGCACCCATGTGAAAAATCTAGATGTGGCAGCAGGAGCCTACAGCCCCGGTGCTTGGGGTTAGGATTGGGTGGAGACGGGCAGAGACCGGAAACTCACTAGCCAGCTAGCGTAGCTGAATCAGTGAGCTGCAGGTCCACGGAGAGACCCTGGCTCAAAAAATAAGGTGGAGAGCAATTGAGAAGGACACCTGATGTCACCTCTGGCCCCCACGTGCACTCAATGGCCACATGCTTTTGAACACATCTGTACTCAGACCCAAAAAAGAAACCCACCCAGAACACCGTCCATGCCCGGAGAAAGCTGCAGAGCGTAGAGAGGTAGGGATGGATGAGCCAGCGGTGCTGGGCCCTGCACCTCTCCCTCCGCATCCATCTGCTCCATAGTCCACGACCGCCATGTGCAGGTGCCACTGGCTCCGAGCCACACGGCTGGTCCCCACTGTGTGTTGTCAGCCACTAGAATGTTTCACTCGGGCCTTCCACTGCACCAGAAGCAGGTCGTTTGCAGGTCTCCTGTTTGAACTAATGGAAAGGTCATTAATGAAGGGTCAAAGCCATTAAGGGTCAAAGGGCCTCTGTGTAGGAGGAAGTGATCTTAGTCAGGAGCCACCTGGTAGCAGCAACAAACATATTGACCGGTGACAGTAAGCCAGTCACCTTGGCCAGTCATCTCATGCAGGCCTTCAGACACTCCCCACCCCACCCCCAGAGCGTTTGTTGGGTGAAGAGGTTCAGATGTAATCTGTACAGAGTCACGCGCTCAGTGAGGGAGGGAGATTTTGCTGCTGTAACAAACAGCCCCCAAATCCCCGTGGCTTGCAGCACCAAGGGCTTATTTCATGCTCTCAGTGCCCACTGAAGATCGGCTACAGGTCTTGTCCACCTTGCTCTGGTTCTGATCACCAGGCTGACCGATCAGCACCTGTCTGGAATGCTGTCGTTCTCAGGTTAGAACGAAAGGAGACCTGTTAGTCTCCTGTGCTGGCTTTTAAAGATTCTGGCAGAAATAGCAGCATCATTTCCTCCCAGGTTGCCCTGAGGAAAGCTGGCCAGTAGCTTTGACCCTGACATTTCTACACCCTCCAAGTTAGCCAACCATGGATCACAAAATATTTTTTTTTTTTTAATTTTTACAAGGTGTCATGTAGCTCTGTCTGGCCTGGACTTCAATATAATAGCCAAGGCTGTACAAGGTTGATCTTCTGATCCTCCTGCCTCTATTTCCTTAGTTCTGGGGATTCAAGTGTGTACTACCATGCCTAGCCTAAAACAAATATTTTTAAAAAATAAGGTCTGTACTGAATGTACCTTATTCCCTTTGTCATTTTACATAAACAGTATGAATACCATAACACATAGCTTACTATATTATATGAGATACATGAAATCTAAACATCTTTAAAGCATTCAAGAAGATATGCAGAAGGTTTTTGTTTTTTTGTTTTTTTTTGTTTTTGTTTTTGGTTTTGGTTTTTGTTTTTCAAGACAGGGTTTCTCTGTGTAGTTTTGGTGCCTTTCTTGGATCTCGCTCTGTAGACCAGGCTGGCCTCGAACTCACAAAGATCCGCCTGGCTCTGCCTCCCAAGTGCTGGGATTAAAGGCGTGCGCCACCACCGCCCGGCGATATGCAGAAGTCATATGCAAATGTACACACATGTAAGGGACTTGAGCCCCTGTGGATTCTGGTGCACTCTGGGACACCTACAATCAACCCCTGGCAGTACTGAGGGGTGACTGTAGAATGTCCCAGTTTAGATCCTGACCCTCTCACTCCTGGTCACCTCTCACCTCCCACCTGCAGGCAGCATGCTCCATCTCCTCACAGAAACCCATGGCAGGCAGAGATTCTTATCACTGGTTTCTGGTTCTCCTCAGGGAAGCAGCTGAGAGGGCTGCTTTCCACACAGGGCCCTCGCAGGAGAAAAGTGTGTTGAGGTGAGCTGGCGCTGGTGGGAAGCCGAATGTTCTCCAGCTCCTTGGTGCCTGAGGCAAATCCATTTCTTGGTTTGCTCCTGAGGAAGGCTATGGGCATGTTGGTTGAGCATGGATTGGGGGTGGGGGTTCAGCCCACAGATATGTAGAGTCTGGGGGGGGGGGGGGCAGTGCATTGTCCATTTACAGTATGTTTGTTGGCTAAATAGCCATAGCACAGTTAAGCTTCATCCTCGAAAAGCAATTTGTCATTGGGCTAATGTGTGACCTGAGTGCTATCCCTAGGAACCACATGGTGGCAGGAGAAAGCCTACGCCCACATGTTGTACTCAAACCTACACATACGCACACGCACACAATAAATGAATGTAGTAAAAAATTTCTCTTTCAAGAAGTATGTATTATTGTCCTCATTTTGTAGAAGACTAAAGCTCAGGCCTATGTTGTGTGGCAGCAACGGCCACTGTAACCTCCAAGGATGTACATGTACAACATGAGCCCCTATCCTTAAAGATTTTAAGCATCCTTTTAGCACACACACACACACACACACACACACACACACACACACACACACACACAGCGCCCCTCTGGAATAACCACTATTATCTCTTAAAGCTTCCAGACTATGGGACCGCAATAAACTGCTTTGCTTCTTGGCAAAATATGAGAAGTGCACAGTGTGGAGGATGGTGTTGAGAAGCCCTCACTAAATATTAACCGTTTCTCATCATTTATGATTGCTCCGAGTTCAGCTGTCCAAATTCCAGCTTCGGTCCAGAGTTCTCTCGTAATGGCCTCTCCACCCACCCTCCACCTCTCTTCTTGCCTCCAGTCACCTTAAAGCAGTCAAGGGCTAAAGGTCCCTCAGGAAAACTGAGCATCTTGACTCTGAGCGCTTGAGACGGCCATTCCCAGAGAGGCTGGTGATGGCCACTCGGTCGGTGGTGTGCTCACCTAGCCTTCTCAAAACCCTGCCTTCCACACCTGTCCCACATACACTGAACATGGTGGGGCCTGCCTGCAATTCCAGCACTTGGAAAATGGAGGCAGGAGGGTCCAAAGTTCGGGGTTATTCTCAGCCATATAGAGAGTTAGAGGCCTGCCTGGGCCTTGAGACCCTCTCTCAAATCACAAAACCCCAACCGCTGTCGCTGCAGATGCCTTCTTACCTTTGATGGGGTTTATAGGGTCTGTGTTTTGAGTCTGGACCAACCCAGCTGTTGCCACAAGGCCATCATCACCCATACAGATGTTTCACTAGCCCATCCCACAAGTAATTGCTTTGGAGGGCATGGGTTTCTCAAAATCCCCAGGGGGGTGGATTCTGCTGGCAAGATGGGGGTACATACTGTACTCATTCTGGCCCATCTGTTCTGTAGAAGCTAATCTTCACTTCTCTTGCTGTTGTTGCTATTATTACTATTATTATTATTATCTTTTCATTATTTGAATTGCACCCATTAGGATGGATCTGCTGGGTAAGTAATATGCCCCATTCACTGAGATTTCCCCCAACCACGGATGGACCTAGGGCCTGCCTACCATTGATCTCGGGTTTAGGGGTTGGTGAGGTGGGAGATCTCAGGGATCCTGGCCCATAGCTAGCCATAAACCAACATCTTCTCTCCAGGACCGCAGAGGCATCCCGGAAGAAGAAAGAAAAACGGAGGAAGTGGAAACGCTATCTCCTGATAGGCCTGGCCACAGTCGGAGGCGGGACAGTGATTGGTGAGGCCTGCTGTAGGGGGTAGCTCATGGTCTGTGTATCAGTAGGGAGGTGGCCCCAGCACGTGACAGCACTCAGCTCAGTAGTAAATACACTCATTAACACTGATAGGAGCTGCCTGTGCATGGTGGTGCATGCCTATAATCCCAGCACTTGGAGATAGAGGCAAAAGGATCAGGAGTTCAAGGTCATCCTTGGGTGCCTAGTAAGTCTGGGGCCACCCAAAGCTGCATGAGAACGTCTCTAAAAATAAAAAGTAATTTAAAGGTATTGCTGGAAGCTTCCACTGAAGGCAGTGGGCAGCTCATGGAAAAAGAACCCATTAATCCTAACTGAGCTCTTACCCTGCAGGTGTGACTGGGGGGCTAGCCGCCCCCCTTGTTGCCGCGGGAGCCGCAACAATCATTGGCAGTGCTGGGGCAGCCGCGTTGGGCTCAGTGGCTGGCATAGCTGTTATGACCTCACTGTTCGGTGCTGCCGGAGCTGGCCTGACAGGTACAGTTAAGAAGGAACAGGGAGTTGGAAAGGATTTTGATCCAGCATGATTCGCCAAAAGGATGCCTAGATGGCTACTTGAGGGGATGTGGAGGAAATGTGGCTTTGTCCCTTCGGAGTCCCACCAAGCTAAACTTTCAGCAGACCTCAGAAGTTTCTGGACTTATCTTCAGCACAGCCAGGGTCAGGACAAAGTTTGACAAACTCATTTGTCCCATGGGCACCTTGTGAGTACTTGCTGAGAAAGAGTCCAGCTGAGTCTGTTGCCATCAACCAGGAAGTACCCAGGCACCATCCCTTGGAGGCATGAAGTTTCCTAAAGTCCTTGCCTCAGCCCTCCAGCCTTGCCCATGCCCTTGGCCCCCAGTCACACTCAGACATGTGGAACACTGCCAAGAATCGCAGTCAGCATCACCTCTGTGGGAGTTAAGGCCCAGCAGGAAACTTGGAACACAGCGATGGTTCAGACTCTAGTCTGTGGCTCTGGTGGCCTTGGGCAGTAGTGTCTTACTATCCTCTGATCAGGACACTAGTGGTGCCTGTCTTAAAGAGTTCACGGATGAAATGCATTTGTCCAGGAGCAGAGAATACAGGCAGGGTTTGCTGTGTGAATAGGTGACCACAATTGCTCATTTCTATGTCCTTAGGATACAAGATGAAGAAGCGAGTCGGGGCCATTGAGGAGTTCATGTTCCTGCCTCTGACAGAAGGCAGGCAGCTGCACATCACCATTGCCATCACTGGCTGGCTCGGGTCCGGCAGATACCGTGAGGACCGGGGCGGAGAGGGACTCAGATAGAACCACATCTGTGGCTGTTGGTCAGACCCTGGCCTAGTTCTTTCTCTGTGCCTCTAAGGGGTGGGTGTGGGAGGCTCATTTCACAGAGCAGAAAACAGATCCAGAGAGGCGAGAAAACCATCTTCTATCCATCCACCTGTGCACCCAACTATCCATTATCCAGATAAGAGTTCACCCATCCATCCAGCCGTTCACTCAGCCAGCCAGCAATAACTATAGACTGTCCACCCTCCATCCAGCTATCGTCCGTTACACACCATCATTCAGTCACCAAGCTGTATTTATAAAATATCAGGCTTACCATGCACCCCCACAGCAAGCCAAGCCCTCGATAGTCAATGGAGGGCAACACGGCCATTTCCTGTGCTCTTGCGGGATGCACAATCTAGCAGACAGACAAAGTGACAGGAACTTGGGGGCTGGGGGAGGACAAGTGTCTATGATATGTCAGAAGGGCCATGGAAGAGACGTGGGGCTGGAACCCCAAGGACCAGAGGAAGAAAGTAAGGAACTGATTCAAGCAGGGGTAGGGTAGGGGGTGCTATTTAAGTGCCTGTACCAGGGTCTGGAGCAGGTGTGTATCCTGCCACAGGCAGAAACGGTTGGGACCAGGTCAGGTGCCCTGCTGGGCTCTGAAGACAGAGAGCCGTAGGGAGGGGAGGATGAAGCAGGGGTCATGGTGAGCGTTGGTCTCTGTGGTCATGCTGTCTCCTGGTCCTCATTCAGGGTCATTTCCCATTTCCATGTTCTAGGTGAGGAAATGGAGGCTAAGAACAATGGAGTGGTCCTGCCTCTTCCTACTCCAGACCTCCAACTTCCACATTATTCCCAGTTGGTGTTTCTGGAGTCTGGGTGCTGCTGACTCACGGGCCTCCATGCTAGTCCCCCTGTGTGCTAGTGGATTGTTGTTGGAATGCCTCCTGGGTGAGGGGAAGGAATCCTTTACCTTGGAGTAATTCAAACACTTACCTGACATCTTCCTGATTCATAGATGAGCAAAGTCAGGTTCAAGGTCAGATAGTGATGTTCCCAAGGTCACCTAGCTCTTAATGGAGGCAGGAGATTGGAAGCCATCTCTGTGCAGACTTATAGGGCTGCAGTACACTCATCTGTCCTCTTGACTGAATCTGACTGATGGCAGGGCAAACCCTTAGGAGAAAGAGGCCCCTGTCGCTGTCTGTCTGATTAGTGGGTGAGACATCCTCTGCCACAGCCAATAGAGGATGCTGCCTATACTATCTGTGTTCTCTTCAGGCACATTCAGCGCCCCATGGACGGCCCTAGCCCGAAGCCAGGAGCAGTACTGTCTGGCCTGGGAAGCTAAGTACCTGATGGAGCTGGGCAATGCCCTGGAGACCATCCTCAGTGGCCTCGCTAACATGGTGGCCCAGGAGGCTCTCAAGTACACCGTGCTCTCTGGTAAGTACCCCTCCCTGATCAGCCATGGTATGACACAGTGGCACCAAATCCTCGAATGCTTATGACCCAAGGGAACCTGGCACCGTGCTAGAGACAAAGGCTGCAGATCAAACTAAAGCCTCGTGCATGCCAAGCAAGCCTTCCACCAACTGGCTCTTCTCCAGCACTGTGTTTACCTTGTTTGTTTTTATTTTGAGTGGAGAGAGAAAAACCACAGTTTTATTGTGCATTTGGAGATAAGACAAGTGACTGCAGCAATCTCAATCTGAAACTAGGATATTTTCATTGTTAGTTAAAGCAGTTCATAATATTAAATATATTTTGATCATATTCTTCCCCTCCCCTAAGTTTGTTTTTACTTTTTGTCTCAAGGCAGGGTTTCATTTAAATTTGTCCAGGCTGACCGTGAACTCACTGAGTAGCCCAGGCAGACTTTAAACTTGGCAACCCTCCTGCCTCAGCTTCCTCTGTGAAAAGTCTGGGATTTTTGTGCCAAGAGACAAGGCAACAGCCAATTACATAATGTATCCATTGGCTATCGCTGCATAACAAGACGCCCCCGAACTCATGGCATAATAATCCTTTATACTAACAGCTCAGGAGAGGCAAGACTAGAGTTGGCTCATCTCATCTGGGCCTGTTCCTAGATCTGTGGGTCAGCCAACTGTCCCCTGACTCAGGACCAGCTTTTCAGAGGCAACTTAAACAGCTTGACTCTGTCCCATGTGTCTCATCTCTTGAAGACAACCAAGCTAGCCCATACCAATGGGAGAAGTGCAGCAGAGGCGGTCCCATACCCAAGGCTAGCTCAAACCTCACAGCTGCTGTCTCTTTGGCCTACATAAGTCACGTGAGCTGGGCAGGATGGTGGATCTAGGATACTGGATGGTGTGAGTAGATGGGGCTGTCTTTGGAATCTCACAATGACGTGTGCTCAGGCAAGAGATGTGGTTTGTATATCAGAAATGTTTGTTTCAAGTTTCCCCCTTTGCTAGTCAGAGTCTGACACTAGGAAACCTTTCGGGTTCCTGGCTATACAGACTCCATGCACATTCACTAGAGCATCCATCAGCCACACTACCCCAGCAAGGCTCCCCCTGCCTCATCTCTGGGCTCCCACCTCCCTAGGTATTGTGGCTGCCCTGACCTGGCCGGCTTCCCTCCTCAGTGTTGCCAACGTCATCGACAACCCCTGGGGGGTGTGTCTTCACCGGTCCGCAGAGGTTGGCAAGCACCTGGCACACATCCTCCTCTCGAGGCAGCAGGTACCCCGGAATGGTGGAGGTGGGGTGGGGAGGCAGGCAGGGGAAGCTTGTATACCGATGCGTACACCATGTATACCGATGGGAACCCCAACAGTAAGTCGGTTGGAAGCAACCCAGCAGCTTTGGAAGAGAAAGTCATCTTTGCTGCCACTCAAGTTCAAATCAGGAAAGTATCCTAGGAGACTCAAAACCACCTCTAAGTGCAGCTCCAGGAAATCTCAGGCACCTTCACACACACGGCATACATACACATATACACATAAATAAAAATAAGTCTTTTTTTAAAAAAAAAAATAGCTTTAAAATAAAATTTAGATCCAGGGCCAGAGAGATTCAATAAAGTACATTCCCCCCCAGAACTTATATTTAAAAACAAAACACAACACACCAGATGCGGTGGTACACACCTTTAATTTCATCACCGGGGAGGTAGAAGCAAGTGACTCCCTGGGACCCGCTGCTCACCAAGGCTAGCTCAGTCAAAACATCCCCCGCCAGTGAGAGACCCTGCCTCATAAAACAAGGTAGGCAGCTCCTGAGGAACAACACTCGGTGTTGACCTAGGGCTTGCACACGCTTGCATACGCACACACACACACACACACACACACACACACACACATACACACACACACACACACACACACTCAAGGTGGAAGTTTATTTTCACTGGAGAAGCCTAGAGCAGATGTCATGCACTCTGATGGTATGTGCCATAAGAGAGAGGCCCCTTGCCTTGAGCAGGAAGTCAAGGCCACACCATTGTTGCCCTGGGTATGGCCTTGACTTCCTGCCCCAAAGTGACAGTATCTGAGATCCAGGAGTCAGGAGAAAGGAAGAGCTGAAGAGCAAGACAGGTGCCTGCCATACAGCCTCTCCGTGTCTGCTCCTTGGCCAGAGACTGGTCATGTGATCATACTTCACTGCCTCCAAAGCCAGTAAATTCAGGCTTTATTCTGAAAAAGCATGCAGCCAGCTGAAACTCAATTACTGCAGACAAAGGGGAGAGTAGACACTGAGAGACCCAGTAGTTTCATGCCAACATTCCCAGGAATGTTGCCTGGGAAACTGCTAACTCCAGCCAATTCCTGTATCTTTCTCTCCCAAACCAGAGTAGCCCTTTGGCAAAGACCGAAGTAGCATTGGCTAAACAAGGTAGAACTTTATCATCTGCCATGGGGCAGTCTGGGTATCAACAACCAAGGAAGGTGACGGCTGTCGGCATCTTCACCTCACGCACGAGCATACTCTCCTCACGGTGTGGAGAGCAGACTCTGATATGCCTCCACAGGCTGCCTTCCTTTGGGAAACTGCAAGGAAGCGTCCATTTCCTAGGTTTCTCGGGCTCCCAGAGGCCTCTGTCCTCTTCTGCTGGGCACCCTCCTCCATCTTCAAAGTCAGCGGTGTCTGGAGCATCCACAGGCTTCTTCCTCTCTGTTCCTCCTCCCTTCTGCCTGGCTCCTGTGTCCCTCTGATTCCTACGTCCCTCTGATTCCTGTGCTCCTCTTTATTTATTTGTTTGGTTTTGGTTGAGATAGTACCTCACTCTGTAGCCCAGGCTACACAAGAACTCACAGCGTAGCCTAGGCTGGCCTCAAATTCCTAGCAGTCATGCAGCCTCAGCTGCCTGTCACAGGCATGAGCCACTACACCCAGCTAAGATTCTTGACTAGATCACATCTGCAAAGTCCCTGTCTTAGTTAGGGTTTCTATTGCTGTGAGGAGACACCATGACCACGGCAACTCTTATAAAGAAAAACATTTAATTGGGGCTGGCTTACAGTTTTGGAAGTTTAGTCCATTATCATCATGGCAAGAAGCATGGTGGCATGAAGGCAGGTGGTGTGGGAGAGTAGCTGAGAGTTCTACATCTTGATCTGCAGGCAGCAGGAAACTGTGAGCCACACTGGGCGTAGCTTGAGCATATGAGACCTCAAAGCCCATACCCACAGTGACACACTTCTTCCAACAAGGCCACACCTCCTAATAGTGGACCAAGAAGTCAAGCACATGAGTCTATGGGGGCCATACCTATTCAAACCACCATAGTCCCTGTCCTAAACATTAAGTGACATTCACAGGTTCTGGGACCTAGGATGTGCACACCTCAGCAGGAGCCATTACTCTGTCTTAGTTACTTTTCTATTGCTGTGACAAGACACTGTGACTAAGGAAACATACAAGAAAGAGTTTAATTTGAAGTTCACAGTTCCAGAGAGTTAGGCAGGCAGGCAGGCATGGTGTTGAAGGCTCACATCTCAGTCTACAAGCAGGAGGCAAAGAAAGCTAACTGGGAATGGTGTGGGCTTTTAAACCTCTAAGTCCACCCCCAGTGACATGCTTCCTTCCAACAGGGCCACACCTCCTAATCCTTCCCAAACAGTTGCACCAACTGGGGGCCAAGCATTCAAATATATGAACCTATGGGGGCCTTCTCATTCAAACCACCACACTGTCTTCTGGGAGCCTGGGCTCCTTCAGTCATGTGACCTCTTGTACCAAGCACTGATTTCTCTCTGTCCCTGACGGCATCCCCCAACATTGTGTGCACATTCCAGACTTTCAGAAGTTGGAACATAGAAATGAAAGGCATTCCTAGAAGTCATAGCTGTCCCTGGTCTTCAGTCCCCTGGCCAGAACTCTCACCCTGGGAACACCCTTAGCCACAAAGGACTTCCAGAAGCTTCCTCTCTGGCTGTGTGCCTAGAAAGACTCAGGACAGAAAGAGAGAGGACACTAAGATGATCAGCAGCTCTGAATGCCTTTTTCTGCACCTCCTGTGTGGAGCTGGACCCTGTTCCCCAATTTCCTGTTTCCTATTTTCCAATTTCCTATTTCCCATAATGCCCCACCTTTTCTCCAGGCTCCCCAGTCAGCATCCTGCCGTTTCCTATCCAGAAAATGAAGTTCCGTCCCATGCCTTTCTACTTTTTCCTCATCACATTGCACCTTGTGTCTAATCTCTCCATCCCCAGAGGGACCCCATATCACTCTAGTCTTTTGCTGTAGGCAGATGAGTTTAAGGGAGGGGGTCCATGTAATGGACTCATTCTGTCTCGCTGGGAAGAAGAGCCATGGCTGATAATGGTTTGAGATGAAAGGGCCTAGCCAGCGGCCACCTGCTCTGGAGGAAACCAACCCCAGAGCTGCCAGCTCCTGCCTATGCAAGGGCCCTGACACCGCTGATGAACACTTCAGAGTGGGAACCAGAATGTTGTGCACACAAGCAACAGCGGAGGAGTTTGCGGTCGCTGCAAGGACTGATATGTTTAAACTTGCTGTAACCTCTCCAGACACCTGTGTCCTGTTTTCCCTCAGGGCCGGAGACCTGTCACCTTGATTGGGTTCAGCCTGGGAGCCAGAGTCATCTACTTCTGTCTGCAAGAGATGGCTCAGGAGCAAGGTAAGTCCACTCATTGTCACAAACAAACATCCTTCTCAAGTTGGTCCCCAGGACACTGGTTCTGGGCCTGGGGTCGTCAGTTTTGTATATTCCCAGTCCTTAAAATAACGGTGAAAATGAATGGTCTTTAAATGGAAAGAGGCTTAGTTCTGTACATACTCTTAGTTAGAGTACGTGAATGCCAGACCGTCCCGTCATGATGACAGTGGTCCTTGTGCTCTGATGCATGTTCTTGCGTGGGAGTGACAGTGAGGAGGGCAAAGTCAAGGGGTCTGCAGGACCACACTTACCATGAAGCCCATGAAGGAGGAGCCTCCATTATCTCTTCCAGCTTCTAGTGGCTTGGCATCCCTCAGCAGTCCTTGCCTGTCCTTAGTGGTCCTTGGCTATTGTTAGCAATTCACTGAAGTCCATGGCATCCTTTGTTGGTCCTTGATGGTGCTTGCCCCCCTCTTAATGGTCCTTGGCAGTCCTTAGCATCCCTTGGCATTCCTTAGTGGTGCTTGGTAGCCATTGGTATCCCTTAGTGGTTCTTGGCATCCCTTAGCTGTTCTTGGCCGTCTTTGGTCGCCATTGGCATGCCTTAGCTGCACTTGGCCATCTTTGGTGGTTCCTGGCATCCTTTGGTGGTCCTTACACTGTAAATACTTTGTTCCAGTCTCTGTGTCCATCTTCCATAGAACCACTTCTTGTTCCTCTTCTTCCAAGAACAGAGTCATTGGCTTTAGGGCTGAAAGGATGAACGGCGCTGGTTGATCGGCGGAAGAGTCATGGGCCATGGTTATCAGAGTCAGAAAGAGCTTTGTTAGAAAGAAACCAGGCCTGGAGAGATGGAAAGATGGCAGGAGCAGAGCAGAGAGAAAACAGAAAGAGGAGCACAGAGAGAGCGTGAGGTCTGTGTGTGGCTTTTTAAGGCGGGGACACAGTCGCCCATTGATGACATAAGGCGCCAGACAAGACCCGAGCTGCGCATGTACAGAATCCTAACAAGGGCCATTCTGACCCGGGGGGAACAATTACAAGATCTTTAATTACACCTGTGTAGACCCTTTTCCCAGAAAGACTTTATTCACAAATTCTAGCTGAACAACTCTTCTAGGAGGCCACATTCAGCCTACCATAGATCCCCTGGGGAGTGTGTAAGTTCCCTGTATCATTCTCTCTGTAATGTACTAAAACAACAAAAGGTCTGAGGGGCCTGCCACTGGTGGGTGAGAGCTTCGGGGGGGGGGGGGCACTGGCAGGGGAGAGCTGCAGGGGGGAGGCGGGGGTGGGTGGGCTGCCACTGGCAGGTGAGAGCTGGGGGGGGGTCTGTCACTGGCAGGTGAGAGCTGGGGGGGGGTCTGCCACTGGCAGGTGAGAGCTGGGGGGGGGTCTGTCACTGGCAGGTGAGAGCTGGGGGGGAGGTCTGTCACTGGCAGGTGAGAGCTGGGGGGTGGTCTGTCACTGGCAGGTGAGAGCTGGGGGAGGAGACGGGGTCGGGGGTGGGCGGGTAGACTGCCACTGGCCGGTGAGAGCTGGGGGGGGGGGAGCTCTGGCAGGTGAGAGCTATGGGACACAATACCAAGGCAGCTCTGCTCAGATCCATCTGCAGAAGCTGTGGGGGAAGAAGCTGTTGGGAGACTGAGCTGCAGAGTACTCTGGGTATGCCACTCTTGCTGGGACACAGGCTTCCCTGCTCCCCCACTTCCTGGTGGCACATACAGACGCAAGACACTGAAGACAAGAGAAAGATCTGGAGGAGAGCGCCAGCACACATGCACAGCAGGGCAGATAGGCAACGGACAGCTCGGAGTCGCAGTCACTGTTCCCAAGACCTCACTGAGCATTGCTCTGAGCTTCCTTTTCCCTAGTTACAGAACTGAGGGCCCTACCGGTACCTTGTTCTGAAGAGCAGGTGAGGTACCCACACAGTATTTTTGCCAATCTTTAAACCAGCCAGTGCAAGGATGGCATGGGAAGCCTTGACCCATCAGTTTCTGCTTACCCAGAGCTAACCCTCTCCTTGGTCAGCCTAAGAATGTGACACAATTGCTCCCCAACCAGCAAGAGCAAAGGTCTGCCATCAGCTAGACCTGGAAAGGCCAGGATCCATTTCAGCACTGGTATTACCAAAAGGCCCTGGAAAAGTCCAGAGCTCAAGAGTGTGGTCGGCCCATTCTTGCTCTTTGTGGACAAAATGTCCCCCACCATCAGACTGACAGTAGGGGATGTTTTCCTGGTTACAGACAACGTGGACATACCACCCTTGGCATTGGCCACAGAAGGTCTGCACCTGGGCCCTTCCCCCACCCCACCTCCAATCTCCTTTAGCTTGTGGCAACCTCCTTCCCCTGCTTGTATCTAGTCAGTGGAAGCAATGGGGAGACACTGTGGTCCTATTTCAAGTAGTTCTGATTTACCTGCAACCACCATACCAAAGGGCCTGGCAGCCAGCTCTGGGGTATGCTCACCAGGAAAATCCAAGCTGAGGTCAGAGGTCAAGCAAGAACCAGCAAGAAAGTAGGGGTGAAAATTAGTAAAGGTGGAAGATGTTGGACATGTCTTTCTGTGCACATTCTTCCTTCCCTCTCTTAAGTACCACAGATGGATGGATGGATGCATAGATGGATGGGTGGATGGATGGATGAATAGATGATAGATAGATAGATAGATAGATAGATAGATAGATAGATAGATAGATAGATAATATGATATTGATGTATAGCAAGTCAATCCACCTGCCTAAGGTAACTAACCTATGATGCTCTGGACTACTGGATGAACCCCGAGAGAGCCACAGTGCCTCCCTTTCCTCAGCTCTTTGCCACCCCCTACGCCTTTTCTGAGTCCCAACAGCTTCAAACTGCTGTGTTCCGTGTTGCTACTTTATAAAAATGGTCACTGCACTGCTTATCTGTCTTAGGAAAAAGCGGGGGTACACTTCTCAAGTGGTGAAATCTTCTATACAAAAACATACACGCTCTAAAGAGGCAAGAGGGGTGTATTAGTCAGCTATGGTTACAACGGCACTACATAACAAAGCACCCCTAGACTCAGAGGGTTGCAACACGATATACTCAGGAGCTGATAATGGCTGGCTGTGGTTTGATTGATCTGACACAGGCTGTGTCCCGGCTGTGAAGTCAGTGGGCCTTGCTGCCAGCAGCTAGCTAGATTTAGGTCATTTCTGTGTGTATTCATCTGGAAGCTTGCAGGGACAGCGGCCACCTGGGATGTACTCTGATTTTGATAGCTCCCTGGAGTACCAACACCAGGCAAACAGGCAGACACACCTAAGACACCCTTCTCTTGTATCCCAGACCCCAACATCCTGTCTGTTGTTAGAGACTACTATAAAAATCCCCTCTCCAAACGCTGGGGCTTGAGACGGCAGAGCCGGACCACTTCCCATGATTCCCTGGCAGCCTAATGAGGTCTCCATCTCCACTGCGCCCCTCCTGCAGCGGGTCACAGTTGGAACCCCTGGACAGCCCTGTGGCCTCACCTGTGAATCTGTCTGTTGTCGCTGGCTCCTCGCTGCTCTAGGAGGCTGTTCCCCCAGGAGGCCGTTGGAACGCTGTCATCTTTTGTACCATTTCCCAACCCCATGTGCAAACCGTGCACCTGGCTCCTCACTTAGAGTGACATGTTCTTATCGGTAGAAGCAGTTCTTCATGGAGAAAAAAAAAAAAAGCCAGCCTCTGCCTCCAGAAGGTATAAATTACACGTTACCGCCATCCATCTAATGCAGTGGTTCTCAACCTTCCTAACGCTACAACCCTTCAATACAGTTCCTCATGTTGTGGTGACCCCCCAACCATAACATTATTTCCGTTGCTACTTCGTAACTATAATTTTGCTGCTGTTAGGAATCATAAAGTAAATATCTGATACGAAAGATGTCTGATACGTGACCCCTGTGAAAGGATTGTTCTACCCCGCCCCCATGGGGTCAAGACCCGCAGGTTGAGAACCACTGGTCTAATGCAAGCCAGGCTTCAGTTCCCCTGCTGGGCATGATGAGTCCCATTTTACATGGTCACTGGGAATGAGACTGCCTAGCAGCTGCCTCCTCTATGTTGAGTCTGGAAGCTGGAGAGAGAAGGAAGAGAGAGAGAAGGGCAGTTGGCTTCTCAGGGGTTGGCTAGAGCACCATGACCCTTGGGTGTTCCTGCACACAGCCTTTGGTAATGGCTCCCAAAGCAACTTTCTCTCTGGGTCCCTTGCACCTTTCCTGGCCCGCGGGTAAGAACACGAAGCACACTTGGCTTTGTCACTAGGTGCCACTTATCTAATATGAGACTTTGCATACTTACCCCAAAGGGTGGTTAAGGGATTAAAATGAGATCCCAGATGTGGAAGCAGCTGGCTCTGATGCGTGCGCTCAGCAAAGACTGATTTCTATCTGTAAGCTCTAACGTAAGATCATACAGGGCACAAGAAGGGAGGGGGGTGCTGTGTAGATGAGGGGACACCCAATTCTCTGGGTCCTTGAACTTCAAAGGGTCCCCTTTCCAGCCCCACAGTGGACAAGAACTCCAGATGGGCAGGGTCTGTCACCCCACTGTCTGGCATGTCAGGGTATTTAGCACAGACAGGAGCTTGACTTGGGGCGAGGGAAGCAAGCAAGGTCACCTGCGTGTGAGTTGGTGTGGACTGGCAACAGCCATGCTCTGAGCTTGGGCAAGTATTTCCTCGTTTCTCAGCCCCCAGTACACAGCAGCAGCCCGAGGAGGTGGGTGTAGGGGCTCTCTCCCTGCTTCACAGATGAGAAACTGCGAAAAGGCCGTCCACAAGGATCTAAGTATAGAGCCAGTACCATTCTTCATCAGTGTTGTATTAGAGAGGACACAGACCCCAAACCATGGCGGGCATCGTGTAGAGGGGGCTGGCAGAGAGGTCCTCTAGGGTAATCATCAACACAAAGGTGGAGTTCCAGAGTACATCTGGAAGTAGTATGCCTGAGGTTTCCACAGCCTACACAAGAAGCCCGCTGTGGGATGACAGGGCGCCGAGAGGGGGTGCTGGCATGCTGGAATGCGAGGTGGAGCTGGAGCTGACTGGTTGGAGGCTAGGGAAGGCTGAAGTCTCTAAATCCTGGAACAAATGAGCAGTTGAGTCAATCCCACAAATGAGTTGCTGGAGGGGTGGGCACTGGACCACCTGTAGCCCACCCATGCGTGCTCAATCCCACACCCGACACATGCAGCAGCTCTGCAGATTCCAGGGGCTTGTGGAGGCCCTCTTCTCTGCACGAGGCACAGACTTCCCAGTGACACCCGAGGCCCACAGCTGACCTCCCTTCCAGCGTCTTCTCTACCACCTGCTGCCTGCTCTGTGGAGCTGCAGCCACACTCACACACCCAGCCAACCCGTGTTCCCTCTCAGTGTGCTCCCATCTCTGCTTCTAACAACCCCTGCCCACTCCCCCAGGGTAGGCCTTGCTCCATCTGGAACGTCTTCAACAGTAGCAGTAATCACATTGACATTAACTATTCTCCTGCACCTAGAAGTGCTGAACTCTCAACATACAGTAGCTGGTGTAATCAGCAGCCCTGTGAGAGAGCCCTGATTAGCGCGGCTGTTCCACAGATGAGGTCACTGAAGGACCTGAGCTTACTGGGGAGCCCGGTCACAGGCCAGCAGGTGGCAGGGCAGGCAGCCTGGCCATGTGACATCCACCCCAGTGCTCGATGGCACTCCTGGCTGCTGTCCACTCTCCCCAGGTGTCCCTCCCTGCACTTGCTCCTTTGCACACCTGTCCTACAGGCCCGTGAGTGACTGTGACCTAGGAGTGTACCTCAGAGCCACCTGGGCTCAGGGCCGGTAGGATATCTCAGTGGGTAGGGTGTCTGTCACCAAGAGCTGAGTTCATTCCCCAGAACCTAGTAATGGAAGGTGAGAAGGAAGGACCGTGGAAATGGAAGAGAGTGGTTTGTCTTCTCACCTCCACCTTAACAGTGACACGGCACAGGGATGTGGGTCCGTAACAGAGGCCGGGGAGACTCTCAGAGTGTTTAGAACATGCTGGAGGGCCCGTGAAATGGTTCAGCTGAGAAAGGCACATGAGTTCAGTTCCCAGGACCCACGTGGTAGGGGGGACCATTCTGCAAGTTATCCTCTGACCTGCACTGAGGCACACACAAGCACACACAGCAAGTAAATAAATGTGTAGAATGTGCTGGAATTTTCCAGAGTCCAGTAGATATGAGCTGGCATGTAGATGACCTCACCTGTAATCCTCACTGGAGGAAACTTAGCCGCCATAAGGGTCAGGAACAGCAGGTCCTGTTTCTTCCTGTCGCCATACCTGCCTGTTCGCCAGCCTGGGTTACTGACAATGGAGCAGCAATCCCCAGCCGGCCGCCATCTTGAATGGATTCCTTACCCTCTTTCCCAGGCTCCTGTTCCACGACTAACTCTTTCCAGCTCCCTGTCTGGTTCCAGACAGCCCTGGTTATTTAGCACCCAACCAATCGCAGACAGGAGAGCCTCTTCTAATGGCAAACAAGCTGCCGTGATCTGAGGGGTGAAGAAAAGGGTTCACTCCAGTGCATCAGAGTCCACACACTGTTTCTCGAGTCCCCTGGGAGCCAATAATGACCTGTGGTTATAAATCCCAGAGTCACCTGTAAGTCTCTTCCAGGCTCCCCTTCACCCTCCCAACATTGGCTCATCCTTCCTCCCCTCTTCCCAAGGTGCAGGGGGTGAGGGGGTGGACCATTGTCTTCATGCCTAATGTCCCTTGTGAGGTGATGCTGTGGACCTTGGGTGTTGCTGCTCTGAGGATTGAGCCACAGTTCACAGGGACCTCTCACAGCCTGCCCTGCCCTTCCTTCAGGTTCAGCGTAGTTAGCTTCATTTCAGATAAGCATCACCTGGAAGCCCCTTGAGCATAGGGATCTGTCTCACCGACTTCTGTGGCCCCTGTACCTGGAATAAATCCATCAGGAGGTGTGCTGTGAGTGATTTGAACTTGATGCCTAGCAAGCCATCACAGTGTATCAGTCAGGATAGACAAGGTTATAGGGTAGTGACAAACATCCCCAACTCTTTTTTTTTTAAACTTTATATTTTTCATGTGTGTTATGTACATGTATGTATTCATGTTGGCATGTAGGTGGGATACACATGCATGTGTGTACATGTGTGCATATTCGTGTGAATCCTCAAAACACTCTTTCACCTTATTCATTGAGGCTTGGTTCGTCCAGAGCTTTTGGATATGGCTAGTCTCATTAGGCAGCTCACTCTGGGGATCCTTTGCCTCCACCTTCTGTGGATATTGTGGATGGGCTGCCAGACCCACCTGACATTTTCATGGGCTCTGGAGATCTGAGCTCCGGTCCTCACTTGCAGGGACAGCACTTTCACCACTGAGCCATCTCCCCAACCTCAACATCCCCCACTCTTTTCCACTGTATTTATTTTATGTAGATGAGTATTTTGCCTACATGTTTGTCTATGCCCCACCTGAGCGCCTGGTGCCCTGAGAGGCCAAAGGAGAAAGTAGGATTCCCAGGGACTAGCGTTAGAAATAGTTGGGAGCCACCATGTGGGTGCTGAGAATTGAACCCAGGTCCTCTGGAGTGCTCTAACCACTGAGCCACCTCTCCAACCCAATGTCCCCCACTGTGGGTTGCCAGGTATGCTGCTAGCTATAGTCACTCAGCCTAACACTTCACCAGGCGCCTCCTCTGTAAGGTCACAGAATGTGAGTCATGCTCTGGCCCCTAAATGGCTTTTATCTTGAAGTAACACATGCCACATTTCATTGACCAAAGCAAGAAATGCAGACATCCTTAACACAGGGAAGGGACAGATGAGTGGCCTCTTACCAGGTGCTAGAAGGCTGAAAGCCAGGACGTCTTATTCTTGCATCTACTTTGGGGCCTCACAGTTCCACAAGAACAACACTGTGGGCAGGCTCTGTTTCCTGAACCCACACTAGAAACTAGCAGCCAGAAGGCCTTGATGGGATTCTGGCCTCTGTGATGAATTCTCAGCTAAGGGGTCAGCCAAGACAATACGGGCCCTGCCTTAGTCACTGTTCTATAGCTGTGAAGAGACACCATGGCCAGGGCAACTCTTATAAAAGAAAGCATTTAATTGGGACTTTGTTTATAGTTTCAGAGAGTTAGTCCGTGATCATCATGGTGGGAAGCAGGCAGGCATGGAGCTGGAGCTTTACATCCTGATCTGCAGGCAGCAGAGAGGGGCGCAGACACTGGGCCTGACGTGGGCTTTTGAAACCTCAGAGCCCACCCACTAGTGACACACTTCCTCCAACAAGGCCACGCCCCCTGTGCTTCTAATCCTTCTCAAACAGTTCTGCTCCCTGATGACCAAGCTTTTGAATATCTGAGCCACACTTTCTTTGTCTGCAGTAGGAGAACTTCCTTCCCTAGCTCTCCCTCATAGAACAATCCTTCCAGCTTGGAAGGTGTGGGAAACCTTCTTAGGAAACCCAGATGAAGCAAGCCCTGAGGCCCTTAGGGCAGAGCCTCGGTGTGTGGTCCCAGGAGCTCAGAAGCCCAGCCTCCAGCTCTCCTGCAGCACCCAGGGTATCAGCAGCAAAGGGGTAGAGCCAAAGCCACTGCCCAGCCTTGGGTCCCCTCACCCTGAGAGTGTGGCCAGGCAGATCCCAGCCAAAGCGAGAGCTGCTTTGATAGCGGTCAGCTCTAGTCTGGGCCCATTGTGCAGGGAATCAGAGGGGAGAGGATGGTGGAGGCACCTGGAGACATAAGGCACTAAGGGTGGGAATGAATGTGTAACAGGAATGGCTGATGCAGTCCACCCGGGAAGACCCAACCCTCTGCTCCTTCATCAGATTATACTTTAATACACATTCTCCTCAAGTCTCACCCAACCCATGAGACAGGTAATTCCACCTCTGTTTTCTACGTGCAAGTTGGGATTTAGCAATAGTGAAGTCAGGACTGGAGAGATGGCTCAGGGGGTGAAGTGGCTGCCCTGCAAGCACAAGGACCTGAGTTCGATCCCCTGCACCCACGTAAGAAACAATTGGCCATGGCGGTGTGTAATCCCGGGGCTGTGGAGGCAGAGCCAGGTGGAGGTGGATTCCTAGGGTCCGCTGGTCAATCAGTCTAGCCAAGTTGTTGAGTTCAAGAAAAAACGAGGTGGACAGTCCCTGATGAGCGACACTGAGGTTAGCCTCTGACCTCCACACACAAGCATACATATACACATACACACACATTAAGAAACAGGAAGATGGAGAAGGTGGACTCGCTAGGGTCTTTCCCCAACTCTGGAGCTCCTACTTCACCATAGGATTTTATGGCAGCCACATCCCAGATCACAGACCACAATGGTATTCCACTCCATTGGCTCATTTATGGAGTGCTTACTGTGTGCCAAGTTCTGTACCCGGCTGTGGAGAGATGATAGAGACATTCTCACCCTCATGGAGCTGGGTGGATTGAAATAAAAGCCCTCCCAGAGACATAGGTTGGGATCTGAGGTGAGGGAGAGGAGTCAGCAGTGGGGGTGCCTACCATCCGACCCAGCCGCTTGCACACAGCAGATGCTTTGAAATGGGTGCTCTCCCTGCCTTGCACATCACATTCTCAGAAGCCACCTGGTTGAGGATGCCATCTCTTCACACTGCACTCTGGAGTGTAGACCATTATTTCCACCACTTCAAACACTGAGCACGTGGCTTAGGAGAGAGCCACCGTCACCAAAACCAGCTTCCAGGAACAACCGTTTTGCCGCCTCTGTATTTCCAGCTAACTGACTTATGACTGAGACATATGAAGACAGCCATGAAGCATGCTGTGAGCTCCTCCTACAGAAGAAAACAACCAAGGCCTTTGGAGGAGAGGGTCGTGAGCCGCCTTAGCCTAAAGGACACCATAGTGCACAGGATGCATGGGCCGACTGATTGAACCACTGTCCAAGCCTCCCAGTGACCCTGCCACACCAAGATGCTCCACTCCAGCCTGCCTAGCAGTTCACATGGATTGTGTGGATACCCACCCCACCCCCGCTGCCCTCTCAAAACCCAGACAGGAAGCACACCTGCCAAGTGAGCAGGATATGAGCAATGCCAGAATTACCCGAGATAAACAGCGCCCCCCTCCCCCGCCGCAATAGTGGACTGTCTCACCAGCCAAGGACATCATCAATTTGCTTTGGAAATGATGCCAGCTGGTGGCAGGGGTAAAGGTGATGATGTCTGCTGCCAAGCAGGGCCTCCATTGGAGCACTCACTGAGAGACCCTGGGCCCCAGATCATAATGAACCGTTCCTTCATTTTTTTCTATGTATTGGCTCTGAAAAGATTTTTAAAATTGGACAGTTGGAGAGGGAGTTCAATTCAGACTGACTCATACTAGCTGGCTCTGCCAGGAAAAAAGCCCTATGAACCAAGAAATCAATTCCTGCTTCAGCTTATTTATGCATTTATTCTCCTCTTCATTCTAGAGGGACTTGAAGGGAATTAATTAAGGGCACTACATATTGTCTGTGCCCGGTGGCTCTGTCCATGCGGTCCACACTGAGCCAGCATGCCTCGGGGCATATTTGCTAAGCAATTAAAAAGTCTGCTTCTGCTGGACCCTGGGGTCCCTCACTTCTGTCCGCCCCAGCTGGCTCCCCATCCCTTCCCCATCTACAGACACATTTCATCACCCTTCCAAGTGTCTTTGAGATGCAGGACAACAGGGGAGAATCAGAGGAACAAAGGAGCACTGGATGTAAAGTTCAGAGACCTGAATTCAAGTCCAGACCCTGCTGATTTCTGTCTGGGTGACCTTGGGCAAGTCACTTCAACGCTCCAAACCTTAGGTTGATTAGTAAAATGATACCACTGCCTGTGGTAGTTATTCTGGGTTTTAACAGTTGCCGCTTGCTGGCTGTGGACTATGTGACAGGCCATGTGTGAAGGGCTTTGCCTGTTTTCTCTCACTGAGTACAACCAACGTCACTGAGAGGTAGGCACTACTATCCCCATCTTGACTCTGGTGAAGTGAAGGTCAGAAAATACATCAATGCGCCTAGCAGAGCTAGGGTGTGACTTGGTGATAAAGTGCCTGCCTAGCATGCACAAGACCCCAAGTTCAGTCCCCAATACCACAAAGAGAAGGCTGGGGCAGTATGGGAGATAAAGTCATCAGGAAGTTTCCATGCAAGAGAGTAGAGCCTGGATCCAGCAGAAATGCTCATAGCCAAGCCTGCATCCAAACCCGTTGGTGCTCTTCCCAGCTGAGCAAGCAAATTCCACATGTTCAGTCTCCTGAGAAAAGGGCCCAGTGATGCTTGCTTCACAGAACTAGTCATACGCTTAAGTGGGAATACATCTCTAAAGCAGTGAGGTACGTGGCTGGCCAGGAAGCAGTAGCCATGCAGGAGATTTTGCTACAGTCATTATTACCCTGTGTCTCGGCATGTCTGTCACTGTGTCTCGGCATGTCTGTCACTGTGTCTCAGCATGTCTGTCTATCACCGTGACAAACACCGTGACCGAAAGCAACCTGGGGAGAAGGGGTTGATTTCACCTTACACTTTTCAGCCCATCCCTGAGGGAAGCCAGGGCAGGAACTCACGACAGGAACCTGGAGGCAGGAACTGAGGCAGAGGCTGTGGAGGGGTGCTGCTTACTGGCTTGCTCCCCATGGCTTGCTCAACCTTCTTTCTTATACACCCCAGAACCACCAGCCCAGGTGTGGCCCCACCCACAGTGGGCGGGGCCCTCCCCCACCACACTCATTCGTCCAGAAGGTGCCTCACAGACTGGCCTGCACACTGAGCTTGTTTTCTCCACTGAAGTCTCTTTCCAGATGACTTTAGCTTGTGTCAAGTTGGAAGAGGGGGGGAAAAAAGAGCAGGACACCGTGTGTTTCTCTATTATTAGCCTGTGCAGTAATTATGCTATGAATTTAGCCATTAGCTTCCTCTTAGTCAAGGCAAAAAACAAAAAGTACTGACCAGGGGATGCATGGGGACACGGAGATGCCAGCTCCACAGAGAACAAGGCCTTCCATTTCAACCCAGCATGTGCGTTGAGCCATTTCCTTAAAGGGCCTAGGTTCTCTGTTCAGACTTAATTAGCCAGCCGTTGGAACCTCAGTGTCTCTGGCCTTTACTCATTAGAAAGGTCGGGCTGGAGGTTCCAAACTGGGAGCTGTGGGCAGAATGTCAGACTGGAAAGATCTTTATCAGCTTGGACTGAGAACTGTCCTGGGGAACCGCAGCAGGGACTTCTTCAGATAATTACCGCTGTGACTTTTGGTGAGCGCCTGGGGACCCGAAGACTTAATTAGGCCACAAGTCTGGAGTCTGGTTAGTTTCACATTCTGTAATCCACTGACTGTTAGCTGATGGAGCTTCGTGAGCCTGGCGTGTGCTAATCACACACTCAGAGAGTGATCCCAGTGTGGAGTTAATCAGTCCTGCCTGGCCTCTGCAGAGCTCTGATGGAGAATACTGTGCCCCCTCTCCAGTGTGCCAAGGAGAGGACAGCTAGTGTGTGTGGAGCACAGAACCACGGGCACAGCTGTCCAGCAGCCTCCCTTCCTACCTATGGGTAGTCCCCCCCATTCCTCTCCCTGCCCCCTCTTCCCCTCCCCCTTCCCCCAGGCTCTCCTCTTACCTAGTCCCTTCCCTCTCCCACCCTCTTTTCCTTTTTCCTCCCTCCCCCCACCTCCCACCCTCTAACTACTTTGTTGCTAAAGTTTTCCTGCCTGGCCCACAGTCAGGACAAATCTCTCTCACCTGCCAGTCCCACAGCCGCTCAGACCCGACCAAGTAAACACAGAGACTTATATTGCTTACAAACTGTATGGCCGTGGCAGGCTTCTTGCTAACTGTTCTTACAGCTTAAATTAATTCATTTCTATTAATCTATACCTTGCCACGTGGCTCGTGGCTTACCGGCATCTTCACATGCTGTTTCTCATCATGGCGGCTGGCAGTGTCTCTCTGACTCAGCCTTCCACTTCCCAGCTTTATTCTCCTCCTTGTCCCGCCTATACTTCCTGCCTGGCCACTGGCCAATCAGTGTTTTATTTATTGACCAATCAGCAACACATTTGACATACAGAACATCCCACAGCCAACTACTATCCCTGTTTTCAAGAGAATAGTCTCAGAGAATTTAAGGACTCTGTCACAGAGTATTGGTCTAGGAGGCCCAGCAGGTCCACCCCTTGCTGACACTCAGGGCTCTTCCTAGTGTCCCATGAGGGTGGTGTTCCACTTCGTATGATGTACCTTCCCTGCCGGCTTCTCAGGTCTTGTCCTACTTAGAGACACCTCAGTGCTGTAGTCAGCACAGCTCCACCTTGTTGTGGCTTTGGGGGGCAATCTTCACAGAAGCGGAGGGCCCAGAAGCCACTTGCTGTGCCCCCCCACCCCCCACCCTGCCCCCCACCCCCATCTCAAGGCTAGCGTTTAGAAGCCCCTGCTGGAGAGTCTGCCTTGCATTGGGAGCCTGTGCAGAACTTGGCAGATTTCAGATTTCCTGAGAAATGGCCACCAGTGTGATCCTTGCTTTTATTTTACTGGATAAACATTTATTAGGCACCAAGTCTGCAAAGCAGAGAAGGAATTGATATTTACCTGTTTGACAGCTGTTCCCAGACAGCCTCCCATAGAAGCATCCCAACAGCCCGCAAGGGTTCTTGGGACGTTTTCCAGATGAGAATATGGCCAAGTGTGGTGTTAGTCTCTCTTGTGACCACTTGACAAGCGGTGCTTTACAGGAGGAAGGGCTTATTTTTGGCTCGTGGGATCACAGTTCAGTCAGAGAAAAGGAAAAGCTACGTTCAAGGTAGAATTGTTTTCTCTAGGCTTAAGGGGAGCCACCAGGCAATGGAGACTCTTCTCAGATGGGAGTCAAGACTTAGGAGGTCCACAGACACATTCTCGTGTTTCAAGGACATTGAGAGACACAGGTTGTGCCTAGTCTCAGTCCTAGCATCAAGAGCTCTGCAACACAGGGCTGCTCAGGCAAGGAGTAACCATTGTTCTCTGCCAGCAGCCACGTCAGCCGTTCCAGAAATAGAGTAAAGAGTTGCAAAGCTTCTGCCTTGTGCAGTCGCAACTATTCAGCTAGGAGACTGAAGCGAGAGGACTGTTTGGGTCTAAAAGTTCAAGGACAATCTGTACAACAAAGTGAGACCCCCATCTTTAAAACAGGGAGAGAGCTGGGTATGGCGGTGCTTAACTTTAATCCCAGCCCTCGAGAGGCAGAGGCCTCTATGAGTTTGAGGCCAGCCTGGTCTACAAGAGCGGGATCCAGGCCAGCCATGGCTACATGGTGAGATTCTGTCTCAGAAAAATAAAAATAAATAAATAAAAATAAAATATATACAAGGGGAAGAGGCTGCATGTATTTCAGTGGTAGAGAATTCGCATAGTATGTGTGAGGCCCTGGGTTTAAACCTCCTCCTCACTGCCAAAACAAAATACCAAAACTAACTAAACAAATACTGAGTGTCATAGCTCACGCTTGAACTCGGGGAGAATAATTACCACAAATTCAAGGTCAGCCCGGACTCTAGATGAGCACCTGTCTCAAAGAGAGCAACCATGAGAGCTAGAAAGCCAGCAAGTCAGGGGTGTGCAGAAACAGGTCTGTATTAGCATATTTCTAGAGTGGCAATTGTGTAGACTAATTAGCTCCCACCATTAACTTGCAGTGTAAATTCTCCCATTACAAATACCCCAGAAATGCTAATGAAGTGGCAGCAGATACTCCTGGAAGTGCTGAGCTGAGCCCCCAAGAGGTGAAGAAACATGAAAGGATTGGAAAATCAAAGCGTTGGGAGGTATTGGGAGGGTGTGAGGGCACAGGCCGGGAACCCAGCACTTGGGAGGCAGAGGCAGAAGGAATCAAGCCTTGGGCTCAGACCTCATGCTTAGAAAAGCAGCACGTTACAGTTGTCCAAGTCATAGGTTTAAAGACTGAAAGTAAGTAGAAAAGGGCCAGAGGTGTGGTGGCACCCACCTTTAACCCCAGCACTTGGGAGGCAGAGGCATGCAGATCTTTGTGAGTTCAAGGCCAGCCTGATCTACAAATCAAGTTCCAGATCAATCAGGTCTACATAGTGAGACTCTGTCTCAAAAAGGAAAAAAAAAGTAGAAAGAAGCCAGAGGGGTGGCCGTGCAGAGCCCTTTGACCAGCACCCAGGAGGCTGAAGCTGGAGAACCAGGAGGTCCAGGCCAGCCTGGGTTTCATAGAGAGATTCTGTCTGAAAATAAAAAAGATAGGAAAAAACCAGCAGATGAACAAGACACTAAAAAAAAAATAAAATATAATGAGAGATTTGAAAATAAACCAAATGAAATTTCTGGATATGGGAAAGCAGGGTAGAAACCATACTAGATGGTTCAATAGCAGCTTAGACAGCGAAAGAGAGGAACCACTGCAAGATTGATCTGTAGAGATTACCCATCATGCATCATGAGGGGGAATAAGGGAATGGAAAAGAGGAAAGAGGAAGTTCCTTAGCCACCTAGTGCAAAATCTAAAAGAAGAGTGGAGGGGGAGAGAGAGAGTTGAATGCCTGAGAATTTTTCAGAAGCGACTCCTGAGCTTTAGGGATGCCTGGTTAGTAGACTCTTGGGAATAAACACAGCTCACTATGAGCTGCTGAGCAGGGATGGTTTGTGCAAAGCAGTGGCTGCCACTTTTACTCATGTATGTGCAAGCACATAAAAAACAGTCTGTTCCTGACTAGATCGCTGTTGTAGAATATTAGTTTAAGATGTGTTACATTTGTTTATGCTATGGAACATGGGTTTAATGATGCAAAGATGTGTTGCATTCTTTTATGTTGCATTTGTTTAACTCTGTGATACTTTGCCTGTCTAAAACACCTGATTGGTCTAATAAAGAGCTGAATGGCCAATAGCTAGGCAGGAGAGAGGATAGACAGGACTGGCAGGCACAGAGTATAACTAGAAGGAGAAATCTAGGGAAGAGAGTGAGTGGGGAATGAGAAAAGAAGGGGTCAGCTATCCAGCCACACAGCCAGAGACGGAATAAGAAGGAAAGAAGAGCCGGGCGGTGGTGGCGCACGCCTTTAATCCCAGCACTCAGGAGGCAGAGGCAGGCGGATATCTGTGAGTTCGAGGCCAGCCTGGGCTACAGAGTGAGATCCAGGAAAGGGTGCAAAGCTACACAGAGAAACCCTGTCTCGAAAAAAAAAAAAAAAAAAAAGAAGGAAAGAAAAAATATACAGAAATAGAGAAAGGTAAAAGCCCAGAGGCAAAAGGTAGATGGGATAATTTAAGAAAAGCTGGCAAAGTTAAGGCCAGGCATTCATAAAGAAGAATAAGAGTCTGCAGGATTTATTTTGGAGCTGGTGGCAGGCCCCCAAAGAACAAAGAGTAAAAACAACCAACT